AAGTGTTTCGGATGATTTATGGATAGGAAACGATCCTATCTAAAACCTGAACAAACTAGTGTTAGATTGGCTAGCAAGCGATATAAAGATGATCCACACGACTTTTCAGTTATGGCAGTTAGATTATTGAGCTTCTGTCTTAATATAATGTGATTTCCACTGAAAATACTGGCAAATCGTTTCCGTTATTAATACCACAAACTGTACGGATTATACAACATATGTAAACAATCTGGGTTGGTCGTGTTCTTAATGTTGCTTTTAGTAATGCATTGTAGAACAAAACAGGCAAATAGAATAATCCTTGAGTTTTCCTGAGATATTTCTTCGAATCGTAGAACAAAAAATAACATGCAGTTTCTTCTATGAATTTAAATAAAACCAGATAAAGAAGAATAATATGAATTCATTATATTTTGTCGTTTCTTCTCAGCTGCTTATGGTATAATGCGGAGTAATCGACAGTGATAGAGAATACATCAGTAAAGTAATAGCCATTTTAAATGATTCCACGAGATTAATCACGGTCAACACCCAGAAAGACCTGACAAATGCGACAGAGAAGTGCCTTTAAGAAATATTTGAGAGAAATCCTAAGGAATTTAAATGATGAGTCTACGTATAACGAAATCAGTTTGGGAGGATCAGTTATTTTACGGCTTTCCCAAAACACAAACTAAACATTCCGACGACGCGATGACGATCATCTATGGCCAAATCACCTTTTTACAATCTCGCCCGCTTGTTGGCTGTTCGGAATCAATTCGCACAAGACTAGCTTCCGACAGTTTGATTTTGCCAAAAGGGTTGACGGTCTAAATTTTGCTGATAAATATAGTGTCTTTTGACGTTTCATCACTCTGGAAGAAATGGCTGAAATTATTTGTTAATATCCTGGACTTCTCCCTTTACTAACTAGTAAATTCAAACAGCTCTTGTTCAGGTGTACCGACAATATACAATTTCAGTCCAGCAATTAGCTGTCTTGCCAAATTGATGCGGTCACCATGGTTAGCCTTATGGACCCTTTTCCGGCTGATATATTTGTAGAAAACCTGGAACAGACGAAGCCAAAGTACAAAGGTGAAGAAACTACGCTCGACTGAAGATGTGTTGACGACACATTTCTTGTTTGCAACAATCAAAAATCCATGTACCTGCTCGATCTATTTAACGAAGCATATATTGGTATGGATTTTACTAACGAGCATGAATTAGAAGGGACATTCTTTTTCGTAGATATTGGAATCATGCAAAACTCAGATAGGAAGCTATAAAGACGAATCAGTTGCAAAGACACGTAATGTAGCCAATCTAAACTACAATAGTTTCTGTCCAATCAGTTACAATAAGGGAGCGTACGAACAATTTTTGACCGCGCTCGTAAACTTTGCTCTAAAGAAAGTCTACATAGCGAATTCACTTTAATAACCTGTCTACATAAAAATACACCCACTCCGATTTATCGAGTAATATGTCCTACTTAACTCGCGTATAAAATATATGGTGAAAAAGAAAGTTTGTTCTTTTTCTCTGTCCTTCAAAATTAATGAAATGATCACAGGATAAATGTCGTGTTGAAAACTGCATATCCAGCAGCAAAACTCCTAACATTATATGAAGCGAACTGCTCACTCAAATTTGAAAATATCGACAAGTCCTCTAATCTCAGTACTTCCAACTTCACCTGCCAATTTACATGTACATGTAAGACCACAAATTGGAAGGAAGAGAAGAGCACATGTTCGCACCGCCGATTTGGGATTCGGGACTAGGAGGTGCAAAAGCTCTAAAAAGCGCAACATCTGGGCATCTAACTGATACCAGACACCGTTAGTATTTCCCAATCCTTTGAATTCATCAACATATAAAGAAACGCAGCATTTCTTCGGTTTCTCGAAGCAGTAGCAATCAAAACTTAAACCTTTTTTGCATACAAAAAGAGACGGTGATAAATTTTTTAATTTTTATTATTCATCATTATTATTCTCTAGATGTCCATTTCGTTAAGCAATCTTCGACAAAACTCACTCACGTACATTGAAATCGTCTTTTTATTCATTCGTTTCTCGAAACTTCGTAAACCCTTTCAGATCTTTCTTGCTTATCACGTAATCCTTTAATTACTAATTCACGATAACTGATTTAAAGCTTGCGTGAACTTTCAGTACTGATCACACGACCCATCTTTTCTGTTTCCAAACTTCATTTAATCAATGTCTCACTCCTTACGTTTTCTACTTGAACTCTACCTTTAAATGACCGAAGTCCAAATATATATATATATACGTTGTTACTAGTAACCTTTGCTAATTTAGTCACTTCCGTCATCAATGTTGATTACTACGCATTATATCATATATCACTGTTATACTTTATTACATATATAGTTGCAAGCAGCAGAGAAATCATGAAATATAATAAATTCATATTATTTCACCTCAACTATTGTTCTGTCTTTATTTAAAATATACTAATTTTAGTTATTCCATGTTATTACGAAATTTATCTAACTGTAGAGTTGAGTGAGCAAGTCTCATCCGCCTATACTACGAAATGTTGGACTGAATATTTGACTCCCGTAAAAACGTACTGAAATGTATACACCAGGTTACTCGTATTTGTCAGATTTAAGGTGGCTCAAAAAAGCAGTCTATTTAGTTAAATGAGCTGATTCTGTAAATTGGATAGGCCCGTTGGTGGATGAAAGTGTTAAAGACACTGAAAAATTGATGAGCACTTACTAGCCACAAATAGATAGAAAAGTTTATCGAAGACAAACTTAATTATGCCTTGTTCATTCCGTACTATAGTGAAATCGAAATATGATAATAGGGAACTGAAGGACAAGAATATGCAGTAAATCCAATTTTATAGAGAGAGCGCGATAGGTTTAATAGGAACACTCATTATTATAACCAATTGTACCAGTGATTGCTTAACTGTACGCGCAACCTTTCTGTTTTCGATGCTACCATTTTTGCCCCACTGCCTCTGTAATTTCACCGCTCTTTCTGGCACGATTTCGGTATCCTTTCGATACCGCGAAATCGCCAGCAAATATATTCTTTAGTATGGATTTACTTATGTTCTCAGTAACTCCGCCAGTAGAACCTTAGGAGCTACTGCCGGTCCCAAGCCCGGATAAAGGAGGAGGGTTGGACATGGGGTTGGCGACCCGATTTCGTCGAAATCTAACTTGCCAAAAAACGCCAACCAGAAAAAACAATCCAAACCATTTTAACTCTGCCCTGGGAGTTGGAAGAAGAATTATGACGTCACGTGATGAAAGCCGAGTTCCCTCGGAAGTCATGGGGCCGATGCCTCTTCTGACAACCAGAGCAACCATTTTTTAGGTACATGGAACGTCCGTACATTGTGGGAGACTGGAAGACTATTTCAAGTTGCGGCAGAAATGAAAAGATACAACCTCGAGGTGCTCGGCATCAGTGAAACGCATTGGACACAGGTAGGACAACTGAGACTAGCTTCAGGGGAACTGCTGTTATATGTTCTCAGTGACGGGTAGGTAACTGCTGTAGTGGTGATCATAGTCAATCGCGGCTCGATCGCCAATAAAAATAGTACAGGTAAGATAGTTCTCATAAGCCTAACTTGTGATTGCAGTTAGAATGAAAATGTAAATTAGCTTCAGATTGAAAAGAGAACAAACGACTATCCAGTAACGCTACTATATACAATCAAGTCAGCAAGTAGAAGAATTACAGGTTATTTGAGTTTTCAGAAACATTTTCAAACTTCTTGTCAGTCAGTCAGTTGCAACGTAGAACTTCGTACGTATGTACACAAGTTCATGTTGCCATACCACATGAGCACAGAGACGCAAATGTCAAATCGAATCCCATAGTGATAAAGATAGTAGACGTATTAATGGTAATGAAGAAGAATTGGGTTCGAAGATATTATTCGAGAAGTATATATCGGTGAGATATAAAAACAGGGAGACAAGGGTAGAGGTGCTGACGAATCCAGATTAGGATTTGAGAGAGCTCAACGAATGGATGCACTTGCGCCATTGCGAACGATTTTGAGCCATGTCGTTCAAGGTATCTAACCATTGGTGACTTTCGTCTCGCGGACCCCAACCAGGTAGTCGACACCTACCAACATGACTCAGTTCACTTGTCAGTGACTTCATGGGTTTCCGCCGTGTTTCGGTCCAGCCCCCCTAGCTTTTTTCCAACCTACTCACACACCACAAAACATAGCTCGTCGAGGCAGTCGGTGGTTAGGCATACGTAACCATGTCCCAACCACCTCAACTGATAAAGTTTCACCACTTCGTCTATTGATCTGCCATCTTTACCTAGTACTCGTTTCCTAACGACAGCATTGCTTATACGGTTGTCCCATGATACACAAGCAATGCTTCTTAAGCATCTATGATCGAATACTAGTAACCTACAAAGATCTGCTACTCTTAACGGCCATGTTTCACAGCCATATAGGAGGACGGAGCGAACTGCTGCGCAGTACACTCGTCCTTTGTTTAGCGAACGGATATCACGCCTACGCCATAAGTGACGCAGGTTGGAAAAAGCCAATCGAGCCTTCTGTATCCGTGCTGAGATTTCGTCAGTCACCAGGCTATCAGAGCTGATGAGATTCACCAGATAAGTGAAGCGGTCTACACGTTCGACTACTTCACTCCCTATCACTAGTTCAGGTACAGATGAAACCCGATCTTGAAGCAACATTTTGCATTTCGAGGGGAAAGGCGCATCCCAGATGAGAAAACTGCTTTTGTCAGAATGAAAGTAGTAGCAATTAAATTAAGACTGGTGATTTCAATGGAGAAATTAACACGTAATAAGCCATGGAGGACTAACGAGGATAACTACCTGAGTAACGTTGCAAATAAAGCATACAGAGTTCTCAACAATACTACACAACTATCTTTAGTTACGGAAATCGCTTGTATTGAGTTTCAGAAACAACCAACAAGACAATCAACCACAAAACACAACGTTTTTAATGTCCCTAATTCAAGTTTGTTACTAGCTAGTTGTGAATATCATCAAGGTAAAGCACATGAAGCAGTGATCGTGTCTAGAAAGTACTTGTATTAGCCACAAACATGTAATCTGCAAAAAGTATTATTAGCAGAGGTGTTGAAATGTAAGCCCTTTCGTTACGTTTTAGTTAATTTGATAACAGCACTTGTTAACGTAGTCCCAAATGTTACGAAGTCTGAGCTCAGCAAAGCCTACACAAAGTCGTTGTGCACCGCCAAATAACAAAGGATTCAATGTGATATCTGAAGTCTCAAATAGGATTAACCAATTTTGATGAAGTTGAAGGTAAGCAACACACAACCAAGCTAGAGCGATATTTAACCGACAAATGCCAGCATGCACATAACCCTAATATTAATGAATAACAAAATATAAAAATAATATTAGAAGTAAAGCAAAATGATTCAAATTAGATTTTTTGGAATAGCGCACATGATAATCTTTGAACAACAGGTTAGTAAATATTAAACGAAAATCTGACATAATAGGATGGCTTCTAGATGCCAAAAGCGATGAGGTAGATGAATCTGTACAATGGAACCAAAGTGAGAATATTATTAAATAAATGGGTATACAGAACAAAACCGCATGGAGAGACACTAATTGATGAAGTCAGGATGGCAAGAAGCAAAATAAATTAGACCAATAATACTTGGAAACACTATAGGAAATTAAATAACATTATCCATTGGCGCTTCATATGAAAAATAAGAAAGCATGAGGGATTGTTAAAATAGAATTAAACTAGGTACTAATAAGGATTTACTTAAGCTACTTTACTAGATAGAGCAGGACAATCTTTGTCAAGATGATTGACAACAAACATTTTTAGACGTTCTACCTCAATTCTACTACGAGATAATCGATTACGCAAGGCTCTGTTTTCTTCAGAGAGATGTATGACGTCTTTCTCCAAACTCTTGATGAGACGGATTTTTCTTTCTCTACATTTCCGAGCTGCATCACGGTTTCTTGCTCTCTTGCGCTCTAACCGCATGCGAGACTGCTCAGTGGGATCCAAGCGTGTGTCCTTCAGATTAGAACCTGTGGCGTTTCTAGAACTATTTCCTTGAGACGAAGAAGAAACAGAGGAAACAGAAGATGACCTGATGTTTGACACTGGGTCAGTTTGCTCTAAGTTGATGTCCACCGAAGAAGGACGAGTATCATCAGGGTCTTGTGGTGAGCTTGCAGAAGCTGTTCGACGACAATCCGAAGTGTCGCTGGAGGGCAAATTCGTCTGGATATTTAAAGGCCAAAGAGATGGATCTAAAGATTGATTCTGAATTTGGACCTGATGGACAAGCTCAGGTTGGGGTTCAATACCTAGCATCTGAAGAACCGACGCCTGTGAAGCTCCATTGGTTGTTATACCAAGACGCAACCCATTAGGTAGTTGAACAGTTGTAACCTCACTATCCGTGGCTGGTTGGGCAGTATTGGGGAGAGAAATAGAGAGTGAGTTTTGTAAATTCGTCAGCGTGATACTCTGTTCAGAGGTTGGGTTAACCGGATCAGTTTGCTGAGGCTGAAAGGTAACAAGACCTGGAGTAACAGCCTGAACACTTGATAAAGACTGTGGATCGAAGCAGGCTGGTGAGTAGAAAAGTATAGATGTCGGAGTTGTGTTGATTCCACTTTGACTTGCTTGGCGATATAGTTCAGCAAAGTTTGGGAGATTCGGAGAATTAATATCAGCCAAATTGATATTGTACAAACCATTGTTACTTACGGTAGAATTGACAGGACTGAGAGCTGCAGTTAAAGAAGCCAAACTTGATGCATCCCGTAATTCATTCAGCCTTTGAGTAAAAACACTGGAAGAGTTAGATGAACTAGTAACATTACTTACTTAGCAAATCTCTCTTGTTCTTCAGTAACATGCTTAGGATTCAGAAAGCTCCCAGGTGTTTGTGGAGACGCTTTCAGATGTTGAAGAATTTTTTCTACCTCTGAACGTAAAATCGGTTGCAGTTCTTCTAAAGAAGGAGTAAGGAAAGATGACAATGCTGGACTCTTTATTGTATTGTCCAGCAGTATATTTAGTGTTGTTGGGCGAGGAGCAGTAGTAGGTTTACTAGAACTGGATTCCGTATTAGAAGGTTCATCCGAAATCTGACTTTTATCCATTTTTATTACATAATGACCCAGTGACAAAACAGATGACTCACCCAGGACCAGACGTACGACTCAAGGTCTAAGGCGGAAAATTAGAGGTCTATGCATTTAGCGTAATGAAACAAAACCTAGTTAACAAGTCCTAAACACAAAAGTCCCATGACATCGACTAGTAAAATTTTCAGAGGGATTTATTATAGAGCATGATTTAGTTATTAGTGCCATTCTTTCTTCCATCGCAAATTAGAACCCAACGTTGACCAAATTTTGCATTAACCTTGATGATAAAAGATTGGTTGGTTGTATGGCATCAAGACTCGACACTATTGGAATGGTATGTTTTGAAATATGAAGTGGATTATGGATGAAAAAGCTCCTTGAGAAACTAACCACTGGAGTCAATGGAGGGTGATAAATTACATACGTAGTAGTAACATTAAATTGATAGATTATATTAAAGTATCGAACTACTTACTAAGCATATGCTATTCAATAGCCATAAGATCATTCATGTTGTGGATTAAGAACCTACACCACTCAATACCAATGCCCGATCCGACAAGACAAGATATTCTCTTTCTGACAATCACCGTGTCTAATTCAAAATATATATAAGTACTGAATCTTTCTCAGTGCTGTTCAAACAGCAGTTCACCACTAGTAAATAACTTGAACTTTTATTTGGACTAAATCGCTACTGAGGGTCTTGTTGCCAACGCTTGTCAACTGGCCTGAGTGATTGGGTTTATTTTGTGCTTCAAGTCAGTATTACTACGTTTTTACGAACATAGATCACAACATTGTGACAGTTCGATTCCGGACGAAGGTGTTCATGTCTGGTAAGAATCTGTAGCAAGCTAGAGTTACAAACATTACCTCAAAGCTTGTATAAAGGCAAACTTCGTTTCCGTTAAGAAATGATTAGTGGATTAGTTTATGACCAGGTTTTACCAGGAAGTTTTAATTCCATACCCAGTCAATATGCATTTACTGTTATAACCTTCGTTTAATTGCATATTTTTCTACGGTTTGTTTTGTCCAGATTCTAATGTCCATAGCGTTTGGTGCAGTGCAACTGACCTCAGTTATTGTGCATTGTCAGGTGACAAACAGTACTTATTTAAACGGCTAGTTCTGTCGTTAGTACAAGGATGGATTGCTTAGTATGATGCAATCAGTTCCTCATGGTATTTAAGGATTGTGAAATTGTGGCCACAGTAAGTGAGGCTTTACAGTTATATGGATGCACAGAGTGTGAAGGATGGAATATCTGTGAAGAACAGTGAGAGTGTAAATTTCCAGAGTGCAACTACATCGGATGGGTTCGCATGTCTATTCAGTAGTTTATATTAGGCTATGGGAAGAAATAGCATTTCTTAACTTCAATGGGCTTATTGTAGAAAAAACATAGTCATAAATACGAAAGGAGATGAGTTATCTTCTAAAACCCACTCGCTTAAAACCCACCCCTCACTGTTTTAATAGAAAGCTCACTGTCTCCTAGTAACTCAGATGTTGATCCTCTTACAGACAACTTCAGGCTCTTTGGTTGAGACAAAGGCTCTGGAGGGGTTCAATCGCCAACATGTATCTAGAAACACAAAGATGATAAATTTCAAGTGAATTCTAGACCTCAGCCACCCGAATCAGTTTGATTTAAGGTACGCTCAAATGATCGTTGGGAGTATATAGATGCGACGCTGAAAATCTGCCAACACCGTCACTCACCTTATTACTGAAAAAACAACGCGACGAACACAAAGATTTCCAGGAATCTAAGTTTCTTATTAGGGTGTCTAAATATCAAAACCTATGTTCTCTACTAGAAAAGCATGTAAAAAACGGTTCAGATTGTTGCATAGTTCTGCACTGCATAAGAGAGTTGTCTTTGATTGACCTAGCACCTACAAACCACTAGGCGAAACAGGACATACTGAACTTACCACTCAAAAATACATAGAAACCAGGCCGGTAACTAACGTATCATCTAATTACAAGCCAAAGTCAAAGAGATACTGACCAATAAATATGAGTACTGTTATCTCAAAATTAACGAAGAGTGCAGTAAAAAGTCATGTATCTGATCCTTCGATATTTAAAGGCCTGATTGGATCGTCCTACTATAGCTTATCTAAAACTAGGTCATGCATTTGATGTCTCACTGAATTTGTTGAGATTCCACTTGAAATGACTGGCCTGGCTTACAATGAACACAAGAATTAAACGCTACGACACGCCTAAATTCCGCGTATGTACTGATCAGAGAAAACGTTTTTAGTAATATCCGGATGAGAAACTTATACTAACAGGGTTGTATTATTCAAACCCTAAAATACAATATGAAAACACTCATCTGACTTCTGGTTTGTATTTATTTGCGCCCCTTTCATTACGTTACGCCACTCTTTAGGAGAAAATATCTTCTGCTAGCGAGGAGAGCGGGATCAAGTAGAATGAAATCCCAAAAATGATTGACTGTATAAATGAAAGATAAACTATGACAGGTTTCTTTAGCGCTGATGCTCGACGTCGTGAAGGAAAGAAGTTGAAAATTCAATTATAACTCTGCATAGAGAAATCCTTCGACAAAATATCTCATAATGTACCAACGTACGATTTAAAGTCTGTGCAAATGGATACCGTCTTCTAGTTGCTTTAGTTGCTTCCTACGTGTTCATAAGGAATATCCTAAGTAAACTCTGGTGCGAACGTAACCCGACCGATAACTTGTGATATTTTACTAGGTAGTGAGTTTATGGTGATGACAAATCACAATACATATTAGTCATCCCTTCAATGCAACATACGATATAAATTCACCACCCAAAGCTCGACTTTTAGGTTATAGTAAAGCTATTTATCCCTCGTTTTAGATGAACAAAAAAATTTTGACGTCTATTTAATAGGTAATTAAATCTTTCGCAATAAACTTAGGTGCGCTCAAGTGAAAATGTGGAGCGTATTTATTAAGGATTAACAATTGTGTGAAGACCGTAAACTTGTCACTGAACGAGTACCTTTGTTCCTCATTAACAAGCGAAAACCCATTAAATGAGTCAAAGCCGATCCCAATGCCTTCCTGTGAAATCACCAGTGTAGACTCCAGTGTACAAGATATTTCTAATACCATTAGTACACCGAAAAACTCTTACATGGGAGGACCAGATGGTATCCCAGCCAGCATGCTGAAAAATGGGAGCAACGATCTGTATGTTATATTCCTTAAACTAGTTACCATATCACTGTCAACAGCATGTTACCCTAATAACTGGAAGACTACACAATTAAATCTGGGCCTACAACAAAATTACCGATCCATAAACACTACCTCGTTTGTATCTAGGGTAATAGAGAAATTAATAAATGCGGCGGTTATACAACACCTACTTCAAAATAATCTCATATCGGCCTCACACCACGGGTTTTTGAAGTCCAGGTCATGCTATATGATATCGCTCAAAAACAACACAAAGGGCTTCTAGTATCGGTACTTTTCTTTGACTTTGAGGACGCTTTTGATAAGGTTCCACACAAAAGGCTTCTCCCCAAACTAAAGTCATTCGGGATCAGTAACCCACCATATTCGTGATTTGTTTCATTCATGAATGGACGCCAACAAATGATTGAATACAACGATTGCCTTTCATCACCTAGATCAATAACCAGTGGAGTTATCCAGGAAAGTGTATTAGGTCCACTTTTGTTTCTGATGTACATAAACGATATATGTATTGCCATAAAATTTGGAAGATCATAGCTATGTGTGGATTATCTCATAGTAGTATATAGCTATAAGCCTGAAGATTTGGATGAAAATATAGCCCGGATTCGAAGTACCATTAACAACTTATCTACCTGGAGTGAAAAGCGGTAGTTACCTTTTAATCACAATAAATGTGGCATCATGCATGTTAGTAAGCATCACCAAGGAATACCACTCTACTTACAAAAATGTAGGATCAAGACACTCGTATCAGCTCATGATTTGTGTATCCATTAATCCAGAAGCCTAAAATTCGAAGAACATGTCTCTCCTATTACCTCTAAGTCTAGATGGCTAATGTGGTTTTTTAAAAACGACCATCATGACAAATGAGAATTGGCGTACGCCATCCTAAATGTGTACAAAGGACTTCTTTGAACGTTGCCTACTATTTTCTTGAAGTGTGTAAATTAGGTCGATTCGAGGTTGACTATGAACGACATTACGAACCATTTACAATCTAGTCTAGTCGTAAAACAAAAAAATGGATGAAGAGGTAGTGGGAATGCAGGAGTATGGTTGCTGGAGATCACGTTGTATCGAAAAAATACCGAGATCGTGCCAAAGTTTACAGGCAAGGCTACAGTGCGTACGTGAGCGAGTCTAAGGTTACAGACAAAAGAAAATGAGTGCTTATGGTTCAAGTGAACGAAAAGGTACAGTAAAACCAACATCGGTACACTTGGTTATAATTATAAATGTTTCCATTAAACCAGTCACGTCCTCTTCATTAAAGTAGATCACTACGGTAGCCCCTCGCTAGAAAGGGTTTACACTTCCGATGCGTTGTGGTTTCGTTCGTGGGCCTGATTGGCAAACGTGCAATTGTGGGACGGAAGAGTCGACGAATTGGAAGCGATCCATGAAGCTCGAGTTGTCACCGAAGGTCTTTTAAAAAGAACAGTACCAGGAATAACGTGCCATATTTGTTTCTCGGGTTGGCGTACAACACAAGTGGATTGTATCCAGAATCTGAGAATGGCGGCCGGACCAGAAAGCGCTGCGGACGCAGGACGAGGCCACATTGCTCCAAGAAACCAGGATCGACCATAACAACCATGTTCGAGGCCACCCGTATGTCAGACATAATGGGAACCAAAACATCAACTGAGTGCATTGACAAGAGCGTGGGTGATCACGTCAGCTTTGACCAAGATTGACTGGGGTCGACGTACCAGAAGGGCGATGGTCGGAGACGTGGACTCAGGACATAGAAGTCAAAGAAAAAGAGAAAGGTGTAGTATGGGGATAGAGTCCTATACCGTATTCGCTGTTGACTGGGAGTCTGATCACGAAAGCGTACAGGTAGGCGTACTTGGTGACCGAAAAGTGAGACGCTAGTCTTGTTCAAACCTCGTAGTTCAGAGCTTTGGACTGCAACCTCACCCGAAGTCAAGGGCGGCGTGGTTTGCAGACCTGGACGTGGGACTGGAGTCTCATCCGTTGATGGTGCAGATGACACGTGCTGTTGACTGGGACGTGAGAATGAGGTCTCTGAAGTATCTAGCTTGGGGCCTGAAGTGGATG